TGTGGGGGATTGGGCAACCTGAACAGTGGAGGATGGTGTTAGGATATTTCCGTTCCACCTTAAAAGGGAGCAGGATGTTTGTGTCACAGCCTGCGTATTTCCTGTTCACAGGATGTTTCTGTTGTGTCTATGCTTTCGTTTTCTCTCTCGGTGCCTGAACACTGAAGCAGGCGGTCATGTTTTTCTTTGTTCTGACCAACGCTGAATAAACTTAAATAATGCTCTCCTGCGTGCATCTTTCGCTGTGCATTATCTGCTGATAAGAGCGTGCATCAGCTCTGGAATGTGGCAAGCTATTTCTGGAGGTCGTGTCGCTAATTGCTGATACTGCGTGTCTACGGGAGATCGATGGACGTCTGGAATCGACGTGGGGCCATGATGGACTTTGTCTCCCTGGCAGTATCCCAACAGATGGGGCCAGGAGAGCTCATGGAGGGGAGGAGGACTGGATGGGAAACTTTCCTTCTGTGAACCTCCTTAAGCTAACATATCTTAGGATCTGAGGATTTGGGGTGATTCTCCCCTCCACAGGCACCATCCCCTCACCTGATTCCACATTGTTCAGAAGGGCCTCCTGGCACACCAGAGAGCTCCTTTCATGGGAGTGCAGGTAGCTTCACTGGGGGAGGAGGGGATGGGGAAACTTTTCTTTTTGTCAACTTCCCTAACTTAACAACGGTCGCACGGTTTTTCTGTTTAGCAAAACTCATGGCACATGAAGTATGTTGGCTCATTTGTTGGTGCTGTTAAACATAACCTTTCAGGCTGCCAAAACAGTCCTCGGAAACCTTTTCATACATGCCAGGGGACATTATTAAGGGTTGGAAGATTATTTCCCCAAAAATACAATTAGTAACGTGAGCTGATATGCTAGGTTGCTGAGTGGAGTCAATTATTTCGTACAAAATTTACTTTGCATTGCATATATTTGCTGAACGTATTATTCTGTAGCCCTGGCGGCATACTTGAGCTAGATGCTAAGGTTAAGGGAAGACTGCCCATTTTAAATACCTTGGCTTGAAAGGGAAGGTAGCTGATGTAGCATAGTGATTGAAAGACCAAGCTACTCACCAGGTGCGAGCCTCATCTCTTCTGTGAGCTCATTAGGTTGCCTTAGGCAAGCTACAGTCTGCAGTTTCCTCCCCTCTAATAGGAAACTCAGGTGGTTTAATGCCCATCAGTTTTGAAGCAAAGCAGAGCCACTCAACAATAAGGTAGCAGTTTCTATATACTTGGAGGGCTCCCAAGGTATGCAGAAGTATGTTTTTAAATGATCTGACAAGCACCTGTGAGCTTTCAAGTTGAGATGGAAGCTGTCCGAAGGAGAGAGAACTGGCCTGCTCAAGCCTCATAATAGTTTATACTTACTTACTTTGCCAAACCTTTATTAGGTATTACAAGTATAGGCCATCATAAAACATTCATATATAAAATTTTAAAATGTATACAAATATACAGCCATGCGAAATATATAATGACGAAGATTTCCATTGGGATTTCTTCATGCTAAATAATGCCATTCACCACTCTAAGAGGTACTATTGACAAAAACTCAGCCACCCTTTCAGTTAATGTCAGACAGATAGAATCTGATGTTAGACTACTCAAAAAAGGGGATAGCACATGTTTGTGTGGCTGATTGTTTAATGGACAGTAGAAAAGGATATGTTCTACAGTGTCTATCATTTCTGGGGATGTTTAAATATCTCCCCTTGGCAAAAACTGAGGGGAAAACATTCAGTCGGGCTAACATAAAGGCCCTGTATTGGGCTGGAATTATTAATATTGAGATATAAGTGACTCTGTTATCTGTTGTATTTAAACCAAAGAACTTGGGAGAGCAAATTTTATTTACAGCTGACTTGATGTTTTGTTTTTCAATGTCCCTTAACCTGGTTTGAATATTGCAATAAATATATATTGCTCACTTGAATTATACAAGGGTTCCAATTCAATACTAATAGATCTAATTTTACTATGTAAGAGTTGGAACCATCTGGATTTATAAGAGTCCTAAAGTAAGTCAGAGAACAGGTTTGAAGTTTGGCAACGAAAATGGCAATGCAGCCAGTATTTTATAGTGCTAGCTCACACCCAATATTCTGTTGTGTGTATACCTAGTTTTGCACACTTGATTGAACTTGGGAGCCTCAGCATACATCTCAAGAAACTTGAGTGTATCTTATCTAAATCACTATTACATGCTTGTATCCATATTGGGATCCGCAAAAGTAGCTAGGACGACAATTTAGCTTCAAAAATCCGAATAGCAGCTGGTATAAGTTGGTTACCTTTCTGAAAATAAAAGCGAGCTACTGCTGAGGAGGTACACTTTGCCTGTTTTATAGCACTTGTACGATGGTTTGACCAACCTGAGTTGCTCTGGAATAAAATTATGAGATACGTGTGCATCTGTACTTGCTTAATTTCCTGTCCTCTTATTTTCCATTTCTCTTAATTTCCGGGAGGTTTTAGCAAGTATCCTGAATGATAATGTCTGCTGTGAGGTTAAATCCCCCTGCTTGCATTATACAAGACTGTTTCAAGAAGAAAGAACGGAAAAGTGACCCCTTTCCAACCCAACAGAACCACCCCCTTTCCCGACTACACACTATATGGCTATAAAATAGACCACATAGCTTTGAAATGCTCACATTAGCCTTGTACCGGAACATGCGAAGCTAATGTCAAACTATTTGTCAATCTAGTCCAGCATTGTGTAGTCAAGTTGGCAGGAGCTCCCCAGGTCCCAGGCGTGGTATTTCATATCAGCTGCTACCTGATCTCTTTAACATAGCAGGGGAATGCTTGGCGGAGAGTGATAGCCTTTCTCCCTCCCTCCCCTCCTGCAACTCTCCCATCCTTCAGAGGCCTAGGCTCATCTTCCATGCTGGGTGGGAACCTTAGACAGAATAACTCTTCGTGGGATGCCCAGCAAGGCTTGCAAAGATGTTTACTTCTTGTCGCTTCATATTAGCTGCTTTATTGAATATATGTTTACATGCCTGAAATGTCTCCCCCTTAGTTACTGTAATATCACTTTAATTTTGGGCGCTGCACTCTTGCTGGAAGGCAGCATTGAATTTTATTTGGTCCAGCGGCTTGAATCGGCTGCCTACCTTTTTGCATTGTCAGAGCCGTTACACGAGGAAATGTTCAAAGGAGGGGCTTTGTAAAGAGCTCGTTTTTTAAAAAATTGTGGCCACCATCCGTACTGGTAGATGCTCAGATCTGCTTTGATTATGTTCCCCTGGGCTACTTCACTTCTGCCGGTGCATTACTGGTATGTCTATGACATAATTTGTACTTATTGGTTGATAAACCACGTGCCATGCTTAATCATAGAATAATAAGCCAAGTGCAAGTAGATAAATAGGTACCGCTCCTGCGGGAAGGTAAACGGCGTTTCTGTGCGCTGCTCTGGTTCTCCAGAAGGGCTTAGTCATGCTGGCCACATGACCTGGAAGCTGTACGCCGGCTCCCTCAGCCAATAAAGTGAGATGAGCGCCGCAACCCCAGAGTCAGTCACGACTGGACCTAATGGTCAGGGGTCCCTTGACCTTTACTCATGCCCACGGGATTGCTTCACAAAGCTGGTACCAAGTGCTAAGTACAGAATCTAACTTCCAGAGAGTTCCACCTTTAATTTAAAACACAAGCAGGGTCGTCACTGTGCAGCTCATTCTACCTTCCGTTCTCATCAGTATCATGGTTCTCTTTAATTTTTCTTTGCGCTGGCTTACCTTCCTTTCATCGTGTTCATTTTAAAACCTCACTTCTTATTTTTGAACACTTTCACTGCATTGCTCCTGGCTATTTTTCCTCTTTAATTCCTCTTAACACTCTTCCTAAAGACATCTAACGTCTCACACCTCTGCCTGTTTTCTTAGACTGGAGCAACCTGGCCTGTTATTATTAGGCAGCATCTTATCTTTGGAACTCATTGCCACCAGCTGTTTGTATAATGCAGGCCCACCAGCTCTTTAAAGTACCTCCAGATATATTTAGTTTCCATCCATTTTCCAATGAACTGAGTTTATAAATAAACAAGCAAGCAAACATTTTGAGTGTACTACCGATAATACAGTCATGCTATAACAAAGATAGGTAAGTCTCAAGACAATAAAATGAAGGAAACCAGAGAGAGAGAGAGAGGAAGAGAGAGAGGAAGGAAGGAAGACCACGGTTCAGTGTCACAGTTGACAGATAATCTAAATTGAGGTTGCAGAAAAATGAGGGAAGGGAGATTAGGAGGAGGCTAATGCAACAGTTCGAGTTTATCACTGAGTACAGTCTTTCCAGACACTCACCTCATGTATTTATTTACTTATACTGAGCATGCCCCAAAACTCCTGTTTGAAAATTGTTTTGCCATGTGACATGGAGTGTTGCTTGGCCACATGGAACTAGTTGCCTTCTTCATTGAACCCTGGCCATGGGCAGTTCCTGGCAAACCTTAGAAATCAATGGGAAACTGAGCAGGGTTTGCATTGAGGATTTGCATTGCTGAGTCTTCAGTGTCCTGCCCTGCCCTGTGCACCTTTTGATATGTGGCATGAACAGCACAGCATTTGTCAGTAATAGTAATCATTATCACTAGCACATCACAATTTAAAATTTGGTACTAAAAATATTTAAAACAGATTGCAGTCACAGGAATAGCCTTGCACAACACAAAATGTGGAGTTTTCGTACAGCCATGTGTACATTTCTTGCCACTATATCTGATGCTGTATAATTGTAATTTGTCCTGTTTGTTCATTTACCTCAATGTAAGTGGAGATCTGGTTCAAAAAAATACGTATCTTGATTTCAAATGGTATTTTCTTCTAAAACAACATTGTCAGTAGGAATTGACAATATTATGTATATTGCAAGATGTCATGTATGTGTTGTTGACTTAATTATGTATTGCTTCCAAATGCAATTTAAAAAGACATTATATTTTGTTTCATATTCATTACTTAGTGTTTCTCCATTCTTTTTATTTCCTCTGAAAGGATCCAAGTAAATGACCAAATTGTAGAAGTAGATGGGATCAGTCTGGTTGGCGTCACACAAAATTTTGCTGCAACAGTCCTCAGAAACACCAAAGGAAAAGTCAGGTAACTTTGAGAAATCCTTACAAAGTACGTTTTAAATTGGTGGCACCTGTGATATTGTCTGGTCATGCAACTGCTCGATCATAAGTAAGCATATATATGTTAAGAAACCCTTTGCTACAATGGATGGTTTGTATCAGCCTTGGACAACCTGTTACCATCAGCCCCAGCCAGCATGGCCTCCATATTCAGCCTTTAAGGCCTTGCCATTTGGTCAGATTTGGCTCACAGAGGGTGGGGCAGATAAAACCCAGTCCCCCGTCCTGACTGAAGAGAAGGAAGATGGATAGGAGGAACCCCACCTTTCCAGAGATCTTTTGTCTCACCATTTGTGGCATAATTACATATTGTATTAAATGCATAGACTTCAGGAGACTCCTCAGAGAAGGAGCTGGTTCATATTGGAGCAGGCGATTCTTAAGTACTCTGGTCCATAGTCGTTCAAGCATTATAGGTCAAAACCAACACTTACATAATATTTTTAAATTGAAATATAAATGATGGGAACAAACTGAATGCAGGGCCAGCCCTGCCACTAGGCAGAGTGAGAGGAGTGCCTCCTCAGGCAGCAAATGCCAAGTGATTAGGGAACAACAGTGAGGTGCTGAGGACAGAGCTGTGTGTGTCACATGGCTTTCTCTGCACATCCTAAGATAGCCAGCCACCTGCAGATTTGGCTGCTGGTCCCATTGGCTTTTGTCCCAGGAATAGGAGAGGCGCCACCATCTTGTCCATTGCCTTAGGCAGCAGAATATCTCAGGCCAGACCTGACTGGACGCTGGTGAAGATCTGCTGAACACTGGCAAAATGTGTTCTGTTTGGCAAGTTAATAGCCTGGCTGCTGTTTTCAAGGCCAGACTAAGTTTCTAAATAGTCTTCAAATGCAATACATTGCAGTAGTCTAGCCTGGATGGTATCAAAGCAAGGATAACTGAGGCAAGGTTATCTCTGTTCAGGAGGGTCTACAGCTCTATTCAAAGTATCACCTAATAAAGGGCTCAAACTTGAAATTTAATATTGTTTTTCTCTTCAGCCGTTACACTTCATTAGATGTTTGTAAAAAGTAAAAGCCTTCTGTGAGTGCATTTCAATTTGGGAGGTCAATTTTCTCCCATGGTAATATTTTTATTCCCAGAGTTTGTAGTTCTTAAATAAGTCTAAATGTTTAGGGCTCTTTCAGATGTCTCTGTATGTAGGGCTTGAAATGCAGGAATTGATGGTTGTCAGTAAAACAATTAAAATAAAATGGAAAGGAAAGAAGTATTAGAAATAAAACATCAAGTATAATAATGTTGCTATATAAATCAATGGTGTGCCCACATTTTGCTGTGTGCAGGTCTAGTTACCAAGCACATAGCAGGAGAAGAGGGTTTTTTTTTTTAATGTTTATTGGTGGTAATGTTGGTGGTAATGTTTATTGCTCAGCAGAGTGAAAATTTGAAGTTTCCTTTTAGTCCAGCCCCCTCCCTCTCCGTTCCCCACACTTAGAACTGGAGTTATGAAATGGAATTGTTTGACAGGAGATTTAGGATGAATAAAGATTTAGGAGGTACAGTGGTACCTCGGGTTACATACGCTTCAGGTTACAGACTCCGCTAACCCAGAAATAGTGCTTCAGGTTAAGAACTTTGCTTCAGGATGAGAACAGAAATCGTGCTCTGGTGGCCCGGCAGCAGCGGGAGGCCCCATTAGCTAAAGTGGTGCTTTAGGTTAACAACAGTTTCAGGTTAAGTACAGACCTCCGGAACGAATTAAGTACTTAACCCAAGGTACAGTACAGAGTTATAGATTGCATTAAGATACAGAGAGGGCTACCAGCTAAGGCAGCCTTTAGAAAGAATTATACAGAATTATTATTATATTTAAAATAGTTTAGGATATCTTTTAGGGTGTAACACCCACAAGTTGGCTTACGTAACAGAATTTAGAAAATACATGAAATACACCACAAACAGCTTAAAAAGGTATAAAGCAGTAGTTCAAGAACTATGGGCGCAAACGTTCCATAAAAAATAGTATAACCCAGTTTAAACCAGCTCAGTGGTTTCATAAACTAGCAGTAGTAAAACAAAGGTAAACCAGAACAAATGAGTTGTTAAGGCCCCTTTGTAGGTATGCACTGTGAGAACTTTACGTAATTCGCTTGTAAGGGAGTGCCATCACTACAAAGCCATCACCAAGAAGACCCTACCTTTCACGCTGCCGACATGAGTGTCTGAATAGAGAGCGTACAGAGTCTTCCCAGTGTTCGCTTACAGGCAGCCAGAATCATCTTCTTCACACTGCGTGGCTGACAAGATTCACCCCGACGAATTCAGCTGTGCTCCCTTTTAAGGATGCCTGTTTCCATAACACTGCTGTAGATCAAGGACCTTAGGATAAACTTATGCAAACCATCTAGAACAGGGTTACTTTCTTCCCCCATAGCTGCCGTAGTTGTAGGGGAGAGGTTATTGTGCTCCTTAACAGCTGCCTTTAATGACTTCAAGCCACAGGGAGGGAAAGGTTTTTATTTATTTATTTATTTATTTGGTTGGTTGGTTGGATGGATGGTTAGTTAGTTAGTACACCACCCTTCATCTGAAGATCACAGGGCAGTTCACAACATGAACAGACAAAATACATAACGAAACAAAAACAAACCAGTAGCTGCCTGCCACAGACACGTTTAGAAAGCCATAGAACAGGCATAGGCAAACGGCCCTCCAGATGTTTTGGGACTACAACTCCCATCATCCCTAGCTAACAGGACCAGTGGTCAGGGGTGATGGGAATTGTAGCCCCAAAACACCTGGAGGGCTGAGTTTGCCTATGCCTGCCATAAAATGTTAATCAGTCAAATGCCTGGTTATAGAGGAATGTTTTTGCTGGGCTCCTAGGGACATGTAATGAAGGCACCAGGCAGGCCTCCCTGGGGAGAGTGGCTGCTGCCTGATTGCCACTTGGTGCAGTGCTGCGGCAGGAAGGTAAACGGTATTTCCATGCGCTCTGGTTTCCATCACGGTGTCCCCTTGCGCCAGAAGCTGTTTAGTCCTGCTGCCCACATGACCTGGAAAGCTGTCTGCGGACAAACGCTGGCTCCCTCGGCCTCAAAGCGAGATGAGAGCCACAACCCCACAGTCACCTTTGACTGGACTTCACCGTCCAGGGGTCCTTTACCTTTTACCTTTATCTCTCTGCTTGCAAGCTCCCATGGTGCATAAGAACATCCTATCAGAGGAAGTGCCACACTTACCTCTACAATTGGCAGCTGCAGGTAATGAAGATTAGTAGGCGACAGTCCTCACTATTTAATTTGACAGGCAGAATTGGCAAAGTATTGCTATAGTTGCATTTCCATTTTCACATTACTGTGCAAGCTGCAACATCAAATGAATTTTAAGTAGTTTGTTTAAGTAAATTGTTCCATAATTAGCATTGTTTGCAATTGTTATTTTAAATGTGTGTGTCATTACTGGGCATACATATTTTCTAGTGTCACTGGTAATTGTCCCCTAAAGCATTCCTTCTTATCCCCCACCCCCAACATAAACGATCAAAGACATATTAGCTTAAATATGAGAAATTGTATTTGATAAATTGTGCAGAAGAAGGTTTAGAAAGAAGTTAAACTACAGCTTTGTATTTCATTTTTCTGCTTTAATTCGGTCAATACTGCTCTAGAAAGCTTACAGGGTACTACTGTTTAGTGACTTTGCTTCCTGCCAAGCTTCATGAACATTTTCTGAATGGTCATGACAATGGAAGTCACTGACCTAGAATAGATTGTTCATTGTAGCTTCCGGATATAATGTAGCTCAACTGTCTTTAGCTGACACAGTGAAGAAACTGTTAACACAAAAATGTGCTTTTTACCTTCTGAACTCTTCTTGCTTTGGCACAGCAAAATTAGGTAAATTTATCCGCATGAAATCTTTCATCCGTTTTTATATTAGCTGGAGTTAGTAGGCTCTAAAATGTTTTTACTGTCTAATGGAAATGTTTCTTTTACAATGGCTTTTGATACATTTGAGAAAGGTAAAAATAATTGCAAACTTCCTAGGATTAAAGTATTATAGTAACAAATGAAAGTTCTGCTTGTGTAAACAATGACATCCTGTTGAAATGTTTTGAGACTGTGTTTCAGAATGTATAATATGTTTCTATTTATTGTAATAGGTTTTGGAAGTTGTCTCCAAGTTCAGCCTTCTTAGAAGTGCTCTGAGGACACAATAATAATAATAATTTTATTATTTGTACCCTGCCCATCTGACTAGGTTGCCCCAGCCACTCTGGGCGGCTTCCAACATATATAAAAATTTAATAAAACATTGCACATGATGCAGTAGTCTTGTTGGTACGTAATGCTAAGCCATAGTTAATCACTTATTGGATTTGAGCAGTGCTCCTGCTATGCTTCTCCTTTAGTGCAACCAGGAACAACAAATGTTTCACCAAATGTTTGGGAGAAAATTGTTTCTCCCAAACAAACCATAATCATGAAGCTAAGATATGTTCTTAGCTTGCTAGTCATGGTTTGCTAGGAGTAACAGTCCCTGTTTTGACACACTGATACAGCTTATTGTATCTGCTTGCATCAGGTGAGGAACAAAGTCAAGAGATTGGACGGTGTGCTGATTCCTGAAGCCTGTGTCCCAATAAGCAGATTCTTCTCTGTCCCATCTTCTCACACTGCCATCATACTTCTGTGGTTCACCTCTGCCGACTGGCATAAACTAGAATCCTGATCTTTGCCTTCATCCAGACTTTGATCTTGCCTGTGATGAGTTGCTGTAAATAGAGGTTACTGAGACCTGTATAAAAGGGTTGGGAGATTTTTGTAAGGTTCCTATTTTATTACAGCTGGAAGGAGACCATAACCAGTAGTTAAGGCAATGCTGTTACTCTGAGATTTAGGACTGTAAGGCTATAATATGAAGAATGCTAGTGCTTGTTACCTAGCTTGGATGTATACATGTATTTGTATAAGCATAATGGAATTCACTCTTAATTGAAGTCACTCT